AAAGAGTTGTACCAGACTGGGACTCTACACCGCTTTCAAGAGGGCCACTCAAAAGCGCTACATGTACCACATCAGGATATAAAGAAGCTGCTCACCTTTCTGTCACGACACTGCCTAAAAACTCGTGCTGGAGACGCACGGCCGCTCCCATGGCATGCCAGAGATGAAGAGGAAGTTCACAAGTGGAAACTTTGCTTCTTATTGAGCTGCGGTTTACATTTCATTCCTTACCAACAAGGCAGTTTGGTCCTCTGTGGCACCTACCAGGGGCTTCATAAAGCCTTTCAGCACAGTACGTGATCAAGCCCCGTTGGTTTTAAGTAGCCTTAAATCACCGTAACTCTACGGTATCCTAACACTAGCAAGATTATGGTGTAGTTACAGAACCAGAAGGAACCTCAAGAGGTCATCTAGGCTAACCTAGTGCCCAAAGGCAAGATCAGCTCCTGTGGATACTGGTCTGACCAGTTAGTGAAGTCCTGCAGTGATGAGGTCCCTGAGGTTCACCTGATCTCTTCCAGTGCTTCAGAATACTTCCCTGCTGTCATTTTATCCTTCTCCTTCACCTGAAGGGTTAACCGCAAGCTAAGCCCACAACTTCCATGTCTATCTACCATGAGCAGGGAGAATAGATCGTTCCCTCCTTTCTTTTACATACTTCAGACTGTTTCCTCCACAGCATATGATGCATTAAAACATATACTGCCCTTCTTCTGAGACGCCTGTGCAAACCAGTGTTCCCTAAAGCCACATACTGCTTGTCACGGTGCTTTCACTGGTGCTAAAATGACTATTCCGTGACCACAGACTAAAAATGCCGCTTCACAACCAAACTTTTTTCACGTACGTTTCCTGCGCCTACGTTAGTTTAACACAGGATCTCGTCTGGCAGAGGAGATGGGTATTTCTCACCAACTCTGGCTTCCAGAAGGACATGCCTAGGTCTCAGAACCAGGTACCCTGCTGTTAAACAAATACGTCCCAGCTACAGGCAGGAGGTCCTGCCACCACTTACAGTGTTTGTATAAATAAAAGGGCTCAGATAGGCTGAAACATGCTAGAAAAAAAAGGTTACTATTCCCACCGCTACCAGTAATGCTTAATACGTGGGTGCCGAGCACACTTACCGAGGGAAAGCCACACATTCTTTGGATCTTTGGACTGCTGGTAGGCACCTAGTCCTGCTAAGCTGCCAAAGAGAAGACCAGCTGCTAGAGAAGGGACGCTGCCTTGAATAAAATGAAAGATAACACAGTCAGTGAAAGAAGAACATGTGTAAAGCAAGCTTGCAAACCAAACAGAAGCACTTGCAAGTTCACTTTCACTACTAGAAAAAAAAACCACAAACCCAATCTAAACCAAACAAAAGACAGTGGAGTAGGTTGGTTTTCTTTTTATTATTATTAGTAAGATACTTTGCAAACCTCAGCTGAGCACCGTTTGCAGCGTTGCCACGCAACAAGGATTTAGCATGGTTTGCTGGGGCCGCTCCCCACAGTGGACTGGGCACCCAAACTTTCCGCAGCTCTGGTGGAGGCAGCAGTGGCCAGTGGGGCGCTCAGAGGGCCGGCAGACACCCCCCACCCGTGCCCAGGGTGGGACCTAGAATAGTTTAGGTTGGAAAAGACCTTTAAGATCATCAAGTCCAACTGTTAACCTAACCCTGCCATCCCACCACTAAACCATGTCCCTAAGCACCTCATCT